TATCTTGATGTATATTTCCTGGCCATATCCTATGGCAGCGCTGACAAATTGGTTAGCTCCCATTTGCCCTAGGTAACAGGAACACAAAGGGTTAAAAGCCCAACACCCTTTAGCCCATATAAGCACCTCCTTCACCTGAGCTCCCCTGTCTTTTTTTGTTCCTGTTCCCCTGGGACAGGGAGTATAGTGTTTTTTCCCTCGAGGGAAAATTTTTCTTTTTGTTATTTTAATTATATGTTTATATGCAATACTTTGCCGCAGGGGAGTTCAGCCTCTCTTGCCTGTGGGGCCCTCAAGTCTTGGCCCCAGGCAGGGGTGTCCCCTTGAGGAAGCTGAAGCCAATTCCTTCTACCTGCAAGAGGCCTGCGGTGACCCTGGGGGTAGCGGCCATGGTATGGAAACCGAGGGATTTTGTGTTCCGGTCTCAGCTTCTCCTCGGGTCAGGTAAGCTCTGGTAGGCAGTGGTATCTTACCTAGACTGGTTGGAATTGTAACCATCCCCCCGCATCTGCACTGGAGCTCCGGCAGCTCTTCCGAGTTGAGGGCAGGTGGATGTGGGCAGTAGCGGCTTCGCGGCTCTACTGTGCATGCGCGGAGTCATCATGACATTATATGAGTCTCTGATTTTGGCGCAAAATTAAAAGGGGATGAAGGGCAGCTTCTCTGCTATTTTCCTGCTAAAGCAACATGGAATGCCGTACCTCACCTCACGGGTCTGAATCAAGGGAGCCTAGGTTAGAGATGTATAATAAAAAAATAAAAAGAGTGCATTTTTTAAGGCTAATATCAAGTTGGTATTTTTTTATTTAGCCCCGTGGAGATAAGAGTCCTCTGCATCTTCAGGAAAGAAAAAAGGCAAATCTGACAGATGCCGCTCTTGTGATGCCAAAGCTATGGCGGGAAGAAAGCTCTGCGGAAGCTGTTTGAATGAGGCTGCAGGGTCTTCCAGATCCTCTATGGACAAAATGCAGACGGTGGCTAAAGGAGTGAAACAAGCCAGCCATTCCCGTAAGAGGCAGAGAACCGCCAGTTCTCATTATGATTCCTCAGTGGATACAGAGGAGGACATGTCACTATCGGAGGGGGAATACTCCTCTTCTTCAGATAAGGAAATCTCAACAACCCAAGATGGTGGATACGCTTATTACTTTAGTATGCAAAACACTAGGCAGGAAATAGCAGGGGGAGGTATTGTCCCTATTCTGACTCCGATTGTTGTGATAGCGATATATCCCTTGCTGAGACCTCTATGCCTGGCCTGTATAAGCAGATTCAATCACTGAGGACAATCATTGTCAGATAGCTGAACTCACCAAATACCGTTTTCATCCACAAGGTTGCTTTATTCTGAACAACAGGTTACAGCAGATGTCAGGACATAACAGATGAATGAGTATTTATGCGGTATCAGGAGTGCCAATGGTTTGGCAGAAGAACAAAGTGGAACTCACTGGCTGGAAATGGCCTGAAGCGTCCGAAGGCAGAGGTACAAAAGGGTTAATCCAAAGAGAAGTGAAGTCCAATCCGAGTCGAGGCAGGCAGCAAAGGTTCAGGGGCGAAAGGCAGTCCAATGTCGGCAACAGGAGGTCCATATAAAGGGGGTCAGGAAACAAAGCAAGGCACATGTACAGGGAGCTAGGAGATCACACCACAGGATGAGATAACTCAGCAACAAGCCAGAGCTCTGGCCAGGTTTTTATAGCCAGGGGGTGTAAGTCCGCCCCCGTCACCGAGGCAACTAGGAGGCTTCTCTTCACAAGAGCCAATGGCAGGCGAGAGGTGGTATGGGTGTGTACGGGAACCTCCCCCAGCTAGGTCCACATCTGAGGCCTAAACAGGTGCAGGCACACTATGCACGTGCTCCTGGGGATGCACGCGCAGCCTGCGTACTGCGCATGCGCACCTGCCGCACGACTCGCGCATGCGCACCTGCAACCCGGGCGCCAGTGGTTCTGCCAGGCTGGAGGGAGACCCGTACCCTGCGCCGTGCCCGCTGAC